CACCACAGATCAAAGTGTGTACAAGTAGACACAAAAAGTTCATGTCACCCCCCAGCCTTGACCAGTTCACTAAACAAAGAAGTGTACTGCAAAATTATGCTGGTTGGGGATAGGGAGTGACGTAAACTTTTTGCACGTACAATGTACAGGGTTGGTTTTATTTTTGGATGAAGGTCATTTTGATCCCAAAGCTTTTCTTTTGTTTGCATTATAATTAAATGAAATTCTTTTGTTTGACATAGTATGATGATATAATTGTCATACCAGTGTTTTTTATGTCAATCATGTTTCTCATCTTCAAGTTTGTGTATGTATGTTTGTTTGTATCTTTAAAATCAAGCCCAATTTTGCATGAGTTGACAAAAACTGTATCTTTTTATTCTACAAAATCTTATATAGTTGAAACTTGAATTACAAATTACAAAAAATTTGTGATGTTACCAGGCAGGAGACCTATTTATATGGTTGGAAAGAATATAGATGGAGGTGTATGTGGGATGAATGAAACTGGAATATCATTTCAAGAAATTTTTTCTTCACCTTCTTGCTTCTACATAGAAAAATAGGAAAATAATGATTATTTTTGTGGGGGTGTGATTTTAACTCTGATGATTTAATTCTACATTGAAATTATATGTCTCTTCTCATAGTGTATGTGAAATTTCTTTACTCATCACTTTTTCTACTTTTTTTGATCTATTTAATAAACCTACTCTTTTTCTTTCTAATCCTTTGAAGGATCTCACACCTTGTTGTTTACCAATGGAACAATTCACACAAGAAAAAACAAACAAATCAGAATGTCTTGTATAATCTATTGTTGTAGAAAACGTTTGCAAGGACAAAACAAAAAGAGACAGACTTTTGGCTAAAACAATGGTATGTGAAGGAGAAAATTCTGATTTTTGATGTTCTTCTTTGAGTTGATTGGTATGATTAGGGTTAATCAATCCATCAGATTTATTTCTTTCCTTTTCCCACCAAATATTTGCGCTTCTTCTTTCCAAACTGGCTGATAATAACTTCATATAGATACTACTGAACATGTTGTATTGTATCCTTGCCTGATAACAAGTGATGGTGTTGATGTTGTTGTGATGATTGTTGTGAGTTTAGTTTCTCATTTGGATTCAATGTGGTTCTATTGGATTTTGGGGGATGATAATTAATGGCTTCATGAATGCAATGAGTTACTAAAGTCCTGCCCTGATTGATTGTTTTTGAATCAATCAAACAATGTTGACGGATTGTGATTTCATGGTTGATACAAGGGTGCTAAATCAGATTAATGATGATTGTAGGCTTAATTAGACTTTTGTGGAAGCTTGTATGATGATGTTCCTAAAGGTGATAATTGATTGGAATTTATTTGATTGATTTAAAAATGGGATCGATCATTTTGATTCTGAGATGTGTTTGAAGGTGATTTTGAGGTTGAGGTTGACTTTGGAGTTGGTTTGGAAATTGATAATGAGATTGACGTTGTTTAGGTTGAGATGAAGTTGATTATATATGATTAGCTTTGAGTTTGATTTGAAGGGGATTTGGACAATTTGGCACCTCGTGTACACTAAAAGTTTGGCCCCGATCCAAAGATCCGACGCCCCGTATCATCCGAGTCTCTCCCATAATTTGGTGCAGATGTAACTCAGATGAATATGATGCATCTGGAGTAACCTCCCACTATCCTCAAAGGTTTTTTTTTGCTTTGAAGCCATGTTTCTTTACGTAAATGAAGCAATTTCTAGAGCACCAGCATATAGTCATTCATACCAATTCCCCAATCATATACACATACACCATTTTTAGTGGTTTGCTTCAGCTTTCAGCGGCAAACATTCAAATCAAGCCTCACAACTTCACAACTTCACATACAAACTTCACAATTACACATCACATTTTCCCAATTACACATCACAACCTCACATTCACCAATGACCATCACAACTTCACAAGTTCACAGCGTGAAACCACCAATCTCACAATCTCACAGCTTCACACGTGCACAACTCGAAACCACCAATCTCACAATCTCACAACTTCACACTGAGCATCACAAGTTCACAAATTCCCACTTCACACTCATCCTCATGCTCACACTTAAGTACCACATACCACAACACACTGACCCGGGTCCGCCCTGCATCTATCTAATTTGAAGTACTTGCCCCTCCCTCAACTTAGTCATCTGATTCCCACAACCTCAACTTCTAACACCACACCACCCCTGCTCTCAATATCTAACAGAAAACATGGCTCGCCCCACTCGCCAATCTGGATTGGCTGCAACTACTCAACCAGCTCGTCGTACACGTAGTCAACACTCAAAGGCCAGAAAACCAAAGACCAAGAAAGAGTTGAATGAAGATAGCTCCAATGATGAGTCATCAATTGGCGCGGACAAATTTGAACTAATCAAAGAGGACAAAGGATGGGAGGACGAGGAGGAAGTCACCAAAACCAAAACCGATACTAAGCCCCAGTCCAAACCATCAAGCGCCAAGAAGACGAGAGCCATCCAAATTACACTTGCAAACTACCAAGACAGTGATTTAGACATCGCAACAATCGATTCATTCCTTCATGCTAGTGCTCGTAAAACACGAAACCGTATTACGCCTGATGTTCAAAAAGAGTTGAAGAACATCCAATTCCTTTATTGCCGTGCGAAGAAACTTTTGGCGTTAGCTGCTCACTGCAGCGAACGGACAGTCAACGAGTTTCTGTGAGTGACTTATACAAACAAGTATTATCTTTTGCATTTTTTGTCTCATCCATATTTGCTCTATTTGATACAGGCACGAAGTGAGCATGCGAACCAAACGCACATACTACCAATGCTATCTAAAGTACGGCAAAGAATCCACAAGCGCTCAAAGTAAGTAATTGTATCATCTGATCTTATCAATACTAGGTAAACTTGTATTGGATCCTTTTCCACCATAATAGTGCCACCTAAGAATGAGTCAATTGGATTTAAAGAGCGAAACCGTCATCTTGGCCAAACATGGTCCTCATACGACCTTGACGAGAAGCATGTATTTCACGATCAACTTTTCTTTTGTCTTGGATATTTAGCGTGTGGGTGGCAGATTCCACCAGCCAAACCAGAAACCTAACCCTTATCTACCGAAGATATTGAGAGGTACTTACCAATCTATAGACGACTAGTCGATACTGACAAGGTAGCAAGAGATTTGGGTCAAGCCAAGTTGGGCCCTCACTTACCCACTGCTCGACAAAACAAGGGAATCTCAGAGGTTCAACAAATTGATCATCAGGTATGGACAGAGTCATTACATTCCGTTATCAAATCCAACTAACATTGAACTTGCTTGTCAGCTCCAGATTCTCAAGATCCGCTATGGTGTTGATTACTCTCTTATGGCCTCCTCCTGGTCACCGGACACCAAAAATCAAACTGCACAGTGGAGTATGGAGACTTCATCATGTGATGATTGGATAGTGTTGAGTAACGGAACCTGGCACCTCCTAGAAAAATTTGTGCGCCAAGTGACCCAGTCCGACTCGCACGCCCACCCGAAACGACCCAAAAAGGTCCAGCCAAGTGACGAAATTAAAGGACGCCTCATTGCTGCGTTGAACTCACAAGTTGGTGTGTTCTTTCATTATGCATCTCTTCCAAGATAGAGTCCTTGACATGCCGTCACGCCTTTCCTACCTACCAAACCCTTTTCATCGACCAGAACAATATCTTCAACCACCATATTCACATTTGGACTGTCACCCCAAGACCTCAAATCCTCATTTAGCACTTGAGAAACGTGTGTTCAAAGGCGACATCAAGCTAATGGTGGTACGAACTGCACAAAGCCAAATTACCGACACTCTCCTCTCAACCGAGCTACAAAAGATGACACTTGCCACCCATAAGCTCTGGTTGGCCGACATCGAGGCTGGACATTACAAAGTGGTTCGACAACCAAACATCCAAGGTACAACACCTAACGACAAAAAGGATGACGATGCACAGGACAACCATCCAATGGACAATGAAATTGAGGAGGTGACCATGACACAACCACTGGCATAGTCATACTACCAAATGATCTGCCTCAACATAGGTATCAAAGAGACGTTTGCGATATTCATTTGTTTCTTGATTTCCCGCTCCACTCGTATCAAACGTGGCCATTTGTTAGATTCATCATACTTAAGAATCATGCTTCAGAATTCCATGAGAACTTTCTATTCGATTAAATTCCATTGCATAAATAAACCGCTTGACAACTTGTTTTTTCATGGTAGTGGACCTCACAAAGCCGATGAGAATTAAAGTTCAACCTGACAATTGCTTCAAACCTGTTTTGAAACTTTTGTTTGGGTGAAACTACACTAAGAATCCCACTGAGTTCTTCACAGATGGAAAACTCAGGTGCGCTCCATGCATCATATGTTCTTATTGACCTCTGCACTTTGTTGTCAAGTGCGTGAAATTTGTGAACTCTAAATGTGAACTCTATGATTCAATGACCTCTGGAGTGTGAAGTTTGTGATTGCTGTGAACTTGGTGAACTGTGAGAAGTTTGTGAACTGTGTGAACTATACTTCCAACTGTTCAAAAAACTCTGTGAACTTCTGAACATGTGAACCTGTGAACTTGTGAACTTGTGAACTTGTGAACTTGTGAACTTGTGAACTTGTGAACTTGTGAATTTGTGAATTTGTGAATTTGTGAACTTGTGAACTCCATGGACTATGTGAACTGTGTGAACTGTGTGAACTGTGTGAACTGTGTGAACTGTGTGAACTGTGTGAACTGTGTGAACTGTGTGAACTGTGTGAACTGTGTGAAGTTTGTGAAGTTTGTGAACTCTACCAACTGACAAGTTGGGAACCCTCTGTGGGATCTCAGCTTTGTTAACTTTGTGAAGTTGTGAAGTTGTGAAGTTGTGAAGTTGGGCACTTCACAGCTTCACAACCTCACTGCTTTTGTGAAGTTTCACTTAGTGATAACCAACGCAACGTACAATAAATCTCTAATAATGTATCCACTCGGGACCTTCATTCTCATCTACCTTCTCATCGACCTCATATTGCTCAACATCATCAGCAGCATTTAGTGCATCTTCTTCGCCCTCTGCAGCATCTTCTTCATCTTCACCTCCCTCTCCTTCAATAGTTACTCCTTGAACCATACGTTCCCATTCAGCTCGACTCAATTTAACCATATTTCGCCACCTTGTACACTTTTCTCGATCGACCTCTTCGCTACAGCCCAGTGGGGGTGAAGTCCAGTTTACCAGAGTGCAAATCTTTTCTTGCCACCTTAGCCATATACGACATGAACGTTGCATGAGTGTTGAATGCAAAGCCTCCATTGTTTCTTTTGATGCAGCCCATAAGGGAACGATACCTGAATCGAAAACAGCATGTGATCATGTAAGCTTCGTCAAATGATCTTGTCTAGCCAATATCATACATACCTTGCCTGATCTCATCCCGAAGTACATCGATTTTATCCTGATATTCCAGGCCCCAGTTCATCATTTGCCTCGCCTCCTTGGCTATTCGGCGGAGCTCCTCCTCACATCGCTGTACATCTAGATAGGCCTCAATGCCATCTTGAGTTCGTGGATCTACGGCCCATGGTTCATTTGGATGGGTGAGGTCACCACAATCAAAGAACGGGTCCGTTATTTCCATCTGTTCAACTTCGATTAGGGTCGGTGTGGGTAGTGGCTCATTTGGGTCAAACTTGTCATTGTAATTACGTGCCAGACGATTATATGTTGTATGCTTCCTACGCTGCTCTGCAGCCCTCAAGATCCGAAGACGATTCATTTTGGCCTGCACATTGGTACCTTCATGCAAGGACCAGTTGTCAGTAAGTCTCAACAATAATCACGGGGGGAGCTGGCCAACCTACCTCGCGCTGTCCCAGCTCGCCTTCGCTGCTCAATTACCCCGCTTTTGGCCTCAACTAGTCGATTTTTGGCTACCTGTATCTTAATCAAAGGTTTTGCTCTTTCGTCTAGACCAATTCAACAGTAAGGCTGTTTGATTTCAAGAATTCACTGCAAATGAGGTAAGTTAGTTGCCGACCTGATACCCCTGTGAGTTCAAGGAATTCCACAGTGCCCAATTTGCCTGATATATCTTCCATAGCTTCCTCAAGGTGAACCATGGTGTTGGGTAATGACAGCATGGCCTGTTTCTTACGACCTCCCCGTTTGGACCTTTTTCGTCTCTGTATTGCAGTTAGTCTACCTCTGATATTGAAATCATTCAAATCACTCATTCGACCACAAATATGCTAGATATGGTAGTTAAAAACCTACTGGGCGGAAACAAGCTTTTCCTCTAGCTCCACTAGCTCACCCAGCAACTCCAGATAGTCCGAGCTGCTTTGAGTTAATGCTTGACTCTGTAGTTCTTTTTTCTGATTCCACTGTTCCTCAAAGTAGGCCACATTGAAACCATGTGCCCTTTCCAGGGCTGCTAACCTTTCCAGGCCCGTCTTCAATTTCGCTTGGGTCTTCTTAAGATGTCCCAAGGAACATTGAACTGATCATGGACGTCCTTCATATTCAGTTAGAAGTGATACATATAGTCTGACAGCATCATCCTTCACTTACCTGCATTCATTCTTCCAAGATCGTTCTTGTGAAGCGCAGCAAAATGTAAGGCATTGAGGCGATGTTGTTTGGTGCAATATCGCAGTCGCCGCACCAAGGGTTTGAATTTTGCCCATATACGCTCACTACCCTCTCCATCTGTGAGTCCCCATGCTTTATTCAGCCGTGGATTGTAATCGAGCTGACAAGTCCATTTGTGTACAAACGAATGGAATAAGCTGGTTGCAAATTTAAGCCAATTGAACTCTCGTTCGATCGGGAATTGGTTCCGCTAAGATATGTGGGATGTAGTTATCAGGATGCCATCAAATCAGATGCCCATAGATAATAGTAAGTCTTGACGTACTTTCTCAATGCCCTTCTTGATATTGCACCCTATGTCATACAAGACACCCAGCTTGCCATCACGTTTGCCGGGTCGCCCTTCGGTGGCTCGCAGAAGACAATTGATGAGTGCGAGAGGGTATACATTCCTACACACAAAGCATTCTGTAAATGTGTCTCCAAGGTAACAAGTCCTGGCTCAACTTTTCACCACTTTGGATAATGCTGATGAGCTTAAGGCATTGATCGTGCCGGCAGCCCAAAACCTCAAGGCCAGTTTCGTCATTTCCTTTCCAATGGGTCTTGCCACGTACATCATCCGCAGCTGTATGCCTAGCTGAGCATGGATCCTTTTGCAAAGCAGTGTCAGCAGCTGTCAAAAAAACGTTGTAGGCATTAAATGTAAAGAGATCTCACAACTTCTGCTTCTGCCCAGTGTTGTTTCCCTGGGTTTGCTCTTGGCACGGGTAGACTCTCGCGCATCGCCTCTATCTCGTCAGGAGGTAGGAACATGGCGGGAGTAATGATACCTCCCAATTCAATACTGGCAGCCAAGTGACGCCGGTGTTGGAAGTTGCCATCGAGGCACACACAGTGACATGGTTCACCATCTGGCAAAGCGTCTACATCGGGCCCAAAGCATTGGGGACACTTGAATGCTAGCTCATCATAATCGGTCAGCCGAAGTGCCTTGGATGCCGCCTCATCTGTCATAATAAGCATTTGTCAATAAGCATCCATAGCCGCCGACAATGTTCGGTTCCATTCGCGTGCCTGGGTTTGTATTGGGGGTAGTCAGGCTTCACAGAAACTTCTATCGGTGAGAGTGATATACATTACTTTTTCTCCCCCTTTTGCAAGAAATATTGGATTACCAGGGTCCAGAAACTCCGCAAGAGCAAGTCCAAACGGCTGGAAACCAATGGAGCAAAACTTCCACAGGATATGAAAAAACCTGAGTAGTTGAATGCTGATTGCTGAAACAGGCCGGTCAGGGGTACCTCCGATAAATCCTGCGTGGATGAGTCGCACCTGTTCATTCGCATAACATTTACAAAATGGGATGGATATCTGTTGACGGTCTGGATACAGGTACACATGGAAGTGAGTGAACCTAAAGCCCCAATGTACACCCGATCAATACTAACAACATAAATCCAAAACATCCAATGTGCCAGGTGTGCCCTGACAATTGCATTCTTTCTTGAAGTCATGATCAAAGGTTTGGGGATTCGACCAATCCTTAGTCAATTGCTGCATCTCGAGGAAAGCTGGAAACATCCCAGGATGGCGAGTACGCCATTGGACTTCTTCATGTGCTCTGCGCCCAGAGTAGAATCCCCTGTTCAGACCCTGCGTAACATCATCAACATCATCTAGGTTAGCATCGGGTGGATCGCTAGTGGGATCCTCCAGTGGGGGAAACATCTGCATGTCGTCCCGCGCATCTTCATCTTCGTGACCTGTGTCTTCGGGGTTGTTGCCGGTATAAGTGACAGCATCCATATACACATCTCCTGATCCAGAAGGAGCGGGTGGCAAAGGACCTTCACCACATAGTTGTAGAGCCCTTTGACGAGATTTAAGCTTCATCGAAAGCACACAAGCGTCCAGTGCATTTTGAGGTTTGCGAGTCAGTCGTTCAATTGCATTAAGGCGGTACTTCTTCTTGTTTGCCATGACTTTTAGGATAGGTGGTGCAGATTGCGACTATGGATGGGTGCTTGCTTACGGATGATTTAAGTTATGTCTAGTCTACCCATTTGGACAAATGGGTTGCACCTTGCAAATTCCAGTTCAGTCGCTTGCTGTCAAGCAATTGACAGCCAATATCCCATATGCCTTCTTTGGGAATCACTACATGTATTGCATCAATGGTCCCTGTTTTGATCTATTACATCCTAAAGATCCCAACGAAAGGGGAGATTATAGCGCCTGAAAAAGGGCAAGCTGGCAACTGAACTGGCCTGAAACGGATTGGGGCACACTATCCGTCTGTGTACCCCATACAATTGGTGGGTGCTATGTACCGAACCTTTTGGATGACTCAATCAGTAACCTATTGATTTTGAGGCCCAAGCGCTCAGGAAATCATCATTGCAAAGGCAGTATATATATTGGCAACTAACCTGGACCTATGGTGCATAGGTTCAGGTTACCTTCCGTGGACAGAACACCTGGTGTGTTCTTTGAAGGAATGAATATATAAATAATTATATATTCATTCCCTTGCTACACCCAAAGAAAGCATAACCTGACATGATTCTTAGCCAATGATGTGTACTAGGGTGATGCAATTGAGACAACAGTACTTCAGGTTGTCTTACCTAGCAGATTTGACAAAATAATATTGATTGTCAAATTGGAAATATGTGATATGTTCAAATGTGTGACTTTAAGGCCTGCCAAAAAAGAAAGCATAACCTGAGATGATTCTTAGCCAATGATGTGTACTAGGGTGATGCAATTGAGACAACAGTGCTTCAGGTTGTCTTACCTAGCTGATTTGACAAAATAATATTGATTGTCCAATTGAAACATATGTGATATGTTCAAATGTGTGACTTTAAGGCCTGCCAAACCAGGCAACAGTCAACTTTGATGGGATGACTTTTTTCACAGAGGCCCCAAGGTCTTTTGGAATGTTGCAATAACTTACTGTGTTTCAAAAGTTGTCTCCCGCAACTGATGAGACAAAATGATAATGTCAAATTGACCTCTTTGACATATGTGATCTGTTATCAGGTGTGACTTAAAGGAAGCCATCCAACCCCTGGAATGGTGAATTATGGGATAAATTTTTTCACAGAGGAGACCAATAGTGGTTTGGAATGTTGCACTTATTTACTGTGTATCAAAAGTTGGACCAATAGTGGTTAGGAATGTTGCACTTATTTATCAAAAGTTGTCTCCCCCCACTGATGAGACAAATTATAATGTCAAAATGTCCCCTTTTGAACATGTGATATGTTAAAAAGTGGTACTTGATGGTCTGCCTACCTACCCCTGCAACAGTGACTTTGCAGGGGTAGGTAGGCAGACCATCAAAGGCATAATAGTGGGTTGAAATGCTTTATAGTGTTCCCAATTCACTATTACACAGTCATGCCCATCATTTGGCCACACATGATGGTCACCCAAAAAATTGATTTGTAGTGTGATCCTTTTGTTGGGTCACCACACATGAAAAGGATCACACTAAATCATATCCTGACTCAAAAATGAAATCATTTTATTGTTCCACCCAATCAAAGAGTAAAGTTATACAATCATGGAACAAGTCTTAATTTCTGCTGATAATCCAAACACAAAAAGTTTTATTTGAGCACCGTCCCAGCCCAAAAGGGGTCAATTTCCACAAAACTGGCCTTAAGTGTCAGAAGGACAACCTTCTCACTTGAACGTGCATGAATAGTGTGTGGGTGATTACTGGATATATATCATACAGCTTAAATTTTGAGCTTATCTGAAAGACCCACAAAGTTCTTTTGGTAACATCTATTCATGTCAAAAGAGTTCAACTGAAGTCCGGGCATCCCCCAAAGCCAAATAAAACTATGCAGCATTGCCTCCACAGAGGAAACCTCATGAATAGTTGATAGGCACATACTATAAATATATCACACAGGGTCAAGTTTGAGCTTATCTCGAAATCCCACAAAGTTTCCTTGGTCAGGTATATTCCCACAACTGGGGTTCTCCACCTGCACGGAGGAACCCAAATGCAGTTTCAAGTATGAAGAATGACCACCACAGAGGAAATTTCAAGAATAGTTGATAGGCCCATACTATAAATATATAACACAGGTTCATCTTTGATGTTATCTCAAAATCCCACAAAGTTTCATTGGTCAGGTATATTCCCACAATGAAGATTCCTCAAAATCCCACAAAGTTTCATTGGCAGCAGGAATACATGCTACCCATGAAATCATGTTGTCCCCGGAGGCAACTAAAGGGCCAAGCCAATAACTCTGTTAAGGAATGTTTTACACAAATTAACATTAACAATCCACAGTGTAAGCTGTCATTATTAACATTAACAATCCACAGTGTAAGCTGTCATTTATGTATCAACATAAAGCAAAGCTTCAATTGAAGCTGGGGGTTTATCTCAACATCCAATAGAATTTAATGGTTAGGAAGACTTCCATAAAGTCTGACCTGACAAGTGTGTGAAGGATTGTTTTACAGACATTAACAGTGTTCAGCTAGCTCCATACCATATGAACACACTCTATCTCAACATGTAATAGAGTCTCATTTTGCCTTCCATAAAGCCTTCTTCTATCCTCACACGTGTGCCACACATTCACATGTGCCACACGTGACATTGGGCATATCCAAATGTCTGTTTGATTTCACCTTGTGTTGATTGGGTATATAAAAATCTGGGTGTGCTAGTGAGTACCCAGATCAGTACTACCTACCCAGATAATTATGATTACAGTATGATTACTTCTTTATTACCCCACACATAACCCCAAATAGATGTATGTACGGATGGGCAACTGGTGGCTAGGCACGGGGAACTGTATCCGGCACTAACTCCCACTCAGTGTATCATTCAAACCTATGTGACATGAGCATCCACCATTCAAACAAACCACCTTTACATTTAAATCAATCGGAATCAAATACTTTGTCTACGAGGACGTGGACACATTCTGGGAATCACGCGCCTGATGTAACCCCCTGTTACACATGTTTAGGCGCAGATGTACACATGTACAATCGAGGCTAAACGTGTTACATAATAATTCTACACAGTTTCAAGCTGTCTCAAGGGTCCACGGGTACAAAAAGTTGTGCCCCAAGGGCTAAATGTGTATACTGACTACCTGTCACTCGATAATCAAATTTTCGAGTGACAGGTAGTCAATCAAAAATTTGCTCCTTCTTTCTCATCAGAACCAACCAAAGTCGATGGTCTCACATCATCCATTTATTTCTCCTTTCATCTCCTCCGCATCATCAATCACACGGAACAATCTCTTTCCAAACTCTTCTGGTGTCTTTCAACTTTTGCCAAGAAACCATTTAAATCTTTGCTTGTTTGCTTCGAACCTAGTTCACCGCGACGCCAAACCCTGAAGCTAGAAGCAGATTGATATAGTTGGTTCCACTGGCAACTGTGTGATTGCACAGACTTATTGTTTGAAGAGTTTTTTTTGACGTGAAGCAAATTTTGATTCCTTTATACTTCTCTTCTCAATCCTCATTTTGTTCTGACTTTTTTTTATTACTTTACATTTCTCTCCTCAATCTTCATTTTATACTTCCTCCAGTCTCAACCTCGTCATCTGATGGCCAAATACAAATCTCCAAGTACGCTCAAATCTCGCAATAACCGATCCAATCAACAACATCAAGCACGTTCATCCAATTGATTACCCAATGCACGAGCTACAAAGAAAGCGGAACTCACCAAGCGTTATGGATTACCGGCCGATGCGAAGTTCCTTTTCTTCAAGAAAGGACGATGTTTTGGTAAACCACACCTTAGCTTATCTTACGGGACAGTCGTCTGCCTTGATCTGGACACATCCGAGCTCCTGCTTGTCGTACGGTTTGTACAAAGGGACCTCAAAAACCAAGAACTGTTTGATTCTTACAATCATGCGATTAGCACGGTTTACCAGCATGCCAAAGCTAGAGGGGAAATCAAGATTAATGGTGCTACTTACCGTGGGAGGAGGCAAGGTCGCAAGTTTGGGAAGATGTATGCAGCAGGTTTCCGTCCAGGTTTTGAGGCCGATGTCAAGGGTGGTGAGCGCACATTTTCATTTGATCGTGCACGGGCAAACCAACTAATATAGTTTGACTGATAGGCCACTATACGTGGAATGCAGCCACAGCCGCCGATCTATACAAGATGGAGGAGGACTTGAAGCGCCAGGGCAATCTCCCAAGAATAGAATCTTTCTTTGCGGAAAGATTCAGTGGCCTTTCCTTGTCTGCATTCGAGTCAAACACATCGATCGCAGCCCGAACCCATGCGCCATCTTGGGCGAATGAGTCCTTCTACGTATCACCGAATTCCAAGGTTTTTGGATCAAATATCACAGTTACTTTCGATGAGTTTGCCAATAAGAAACATAAAGATCGAGACGTTTCTAAATACACATTTGGCTTTTTCGGGTTAGTGGACCGAGTCACCGGGGACCTTTACGAGCGAGGATCCACCTCACCACAAGGCGATACGAGAGGTGCCCGGTTTGCACTGGATGACTACAACTTTGACATCAATTTAGATGCATCTGATAGTGTAATAGAGATGCTGTGGAACTCTCAAGTTCACCATCACACAACCCCATCAAAAACCTATAATGCACGTGGGGTGCAGGTTGGACCGGCACAGGCTGAAATCACACGATTTGCATGCTCTTGCCAGATTTCACAGGCGTTGGTGAATCGGATCGATAAGGTCAAGTCTTTGCAAAGTGAGATGGGTGAAGATGTTTGGGTAGTTTATCAATCCGCCGTTTTGACTGGTTACAAAGAACAAGCCCATAAAAAAATGAAAACTCTGGCTCTCAAATTAGGAATTTGGAAGGATGACTTCTGAGCGTTTTGTAGTAGTACAATTCACATGTGGTCACATGAACGATTGTGTTATTTGGGATAATTGTTACATTTATTATATTTTGGTGGTCTGTTCTTTCTGGCTGTCTCATCCTTCCTATTACTCGTATCTTTCAATCAAAAGTATGGTATTGTCTTCAGATCGGATCTAATTTTTCATGCTATTCATTAAAACTTGTTTCCGAAATCTTTTTGGAGAGTAATCTGAGCCGAGAATGCAATGGCCAACTATACTATGTAATCATAGTACCTCACAACTTCACTTATGTTATGAAGTTTTGAAGCTGAACGTTAAATTGAGAGTCAAACATAACCAGATGCGAGGTTGGGAAGCAAATGTCAAGCTACGTATGAGATTGGTAGATCGCGTGTGAAGTTGTTGTGAAGCTACAGATTTGTAAACATCGACCTCAAAAGAAACGATTGTGTGAAGTTATTGCCTATTGGATTGCCTATTGGATTATGTTCCATGAGCTTGAAAACATGCAATTGGGTTCACAACTTCACATCTTCACATGCTGTGTGAAGTTAACTTGAAACAAGACTCATTCTGAAGTCGTTTGTGGTTGTGAAGACTCATTGTGAAGTCGTTGTGAAGCTACACATAAACAGCTCACAACCTCGGCCATATTGACAAATGACTACTTGACGTAGTCGTTTCTGATCACAAAGACTCATTGTGAAGTCATTGTGAAGCTGCACATGCTCACAACCTTGTTCATCACTTCGGGCAAGCAATGCAGGGTATTGATCCTATTAACATCTAATGGCTACATACAACATTTAATCAGTCAGCAAGCTGCTCGCTGGTCGTCTTTGAGGCTTCTGTTTTATTATCACTATCATTGGTATCACTAGTATTGGAATCCGGTTCGGAATCACTTTCTATTGATACATGGACAGGATCTCCCAATCCCAATCGTAACCGAGACTCGTCATGTTTGCGGTATCTTGCTGCCCTGAGGCCCTTGGCTAGCTTGGCAAAAACTTTGCAGTTCACATCATATAAACCTGTCCAGCCATCTGAATTCGTGTCGCGTAACAGGGTCCAATCGGAGTTTAAGAGAGGGATGGGAAGGGATGGACAAATTGTTAATTCTACAGATACGTCCTGGTTCCGCCGAACCATTGCTATTACAATAGGTGTAATTAGGACGGGAGGAGGGGTAAAGAAGGGGGGAGTGTACATGGTTGCCGTGTCTAGTTTAGAATAGTAGATCACTGGTTGGTTATAAGTATTGGCAATCAGTGTCGTTCCTCCGGGCATAGGGTAATATAAGTCTGATGAAGCTGTGTCGTGTGGGTTTTGGAGGATGTCGAGAAAATGCTCAATGGTGTAATTGACACATAGCGAAGGAAGGTGTTGTTTGTACCAGTCGTATCTTGATAAAAGTTCTTCTTCCATCTCCTTGCGGATGATTGGTGCGTCCACTTCATCCCGGCCGAGCGAAACAGCAATTGAAGCAAAAGCACAAAGGCCATTTCCAACTACATCGGTGACAGATATCAGAAAGGGGTGTAAGTATGAGGGTATGTCATCCATACAAGGGATAGCCTGAAAACCAATGCACATCAATGCACAGGTTAGCGTACATCAAGAGTATGAAACAAAGGGGGAAGGTCTATACCTCTGGTAAGTTACAGGATGGTGTTATTTGGTTTGCCACGTCTTCATTGTTCTCGGCGGCGGCGGGGGCGTATTGACACTGAAGAGGTGTTAACAATCATTGAATGAGGTGTTTAAAGTTTCAAAATTTTCAGTGGGTAATTGATGTAAAGCTTACATTGGATGCTGAATCGGTTTGAGAAAAACCAGAACATGATCGCAATGATCTGTTGCGCTCACCTGTTGAGGCCAAAATGGGAGCTTTTGCTGGTGTGGCAGAGGCCTTGGCACGTTTGGTACGTGATGAGGTGTTGCTTTTGTTCGATGTGATTCTTCGGTTTATCTACTGGGCTAGACGGTTTACTCTTCCTGAGTTCTAACTGCCGTCTTTCCCCCCTTCTTTTTAGGCCTTCTTTTT